GCCTAACCTGACACCAGGGATGCACTCATACAAGTCTTCCCCTGCCTAACCTGACGCCAGGGCGCCCAGCCTGTCGCCGCCCTCACCGGCAATGGACCCAGCGCGCTTGAACGCAACCTGACGCCAGGTGGTTAACCGGACGCCACCCCGCCGGCACGCACAACTCCAGATTCCGAGAAGCCCTGAGCTGGGGTGGTTAGGCGGCCAGGCCCTAGCGTTAGGTTAGGTGCCCAGCGTCAGGTTAGGGGGGAGCTTGTAACTTGCGCCCCATATAATCTCATATTCGACAGAAAGATCGACTTCCCCTCCCCCCTCTCTGGGATTGTCGAAACCCCGTGAGACTCTGCTGACAAATGATTGTGCCTTCTCGCTTGTTTTCCATATAAAGTCAAGCCGTCCCAAGCAGAACGGATACTACCCCTCATCCATGTTGAATAAAACTATTCGCGCATACTCGTCTCTCGAAAAATCATGTTGCGATAACCCATTGCAGCCACAATACCTCGATGCTCACACTCGCGCGCACTTGTCGAAATCATACCAAACCTATTTCTTTGCAACCGTCTCAACATAGAAACCTTACACGGCCCTGGGGTTTTCGACAAAAGAACTGTAAATTCTCCAACCGCGCGCATTCGCGGAAGTCAATGAAAATCGAATGGAATAGGCAAGCTCGTCCAGAATCCGCATTCTCATCTCACCAAGCGGCGCATGCGCGTGGATCTGGCATGCGCACAGTACACAATCCGCATCAAAACATACAATGCGAGCATACGCGCGCCGCCAAGCGCACGTGCCGAACTCATTCCAGAACGATTGGTTGTCGAAGCATTGCAAGGCAGACTCCTTCAACAACACATGAAAAACAATAGCTGTTCAACAAGAAGTCTGCCAGATTCTTGAATGTCTGCGCGCGCACTTCTTCACAATCCTCACCAGCCCCATATATTATTCATCAGCATCGGCAGCGTCAACATAGCCATCGTCACCATCATCATTGTCATCATCGTCATCGTCATCGTCATCGTCATCATCATCATCATCATCATCATCATCATCATCATCATCATCATCATCATCATCATCATCATCATCATCACCATCCTCATCCTCATCACTATCATTGTCGTCATCGTCATCGCCGCCGTCGTCGAAGTCATATTCGATGCCGTCGTCATCGTCAAACTTGCGTTCGTAGGCACTTCCTCAAAAACATCAGAATACTGTCATCATCATCGTCATCATCATCATCGTCATCAACATCGTCTTCACCATCAACATCACCATCACCATCAACACCACCATCACCACCATCATCATCGTCATCTTCATCATCATCACCGTCGTCATCATGATCATCCTCATGATCAGAATCACCATCATCATCATCCTCATCATCATCAGTATCATCATCAACATCATCATCACCATCACCATCACCAATATCACCATCGTCATCATCATCACCGTCATCATCATGATCCTCGTCATCAGTATCATCATCATTATCATCATCATCACCATTATGATCATCATCATCAGCATCATCATCAGTAGCATCATCATGGCCATCATCATCATGGCCATCACCATCATCATCAGCAGCATCATCACCGTCATTGTAATCATCACCATCATCATCATCATCGCCAGCCGCATCATTGCCGCCGTCATTTCCATCTCTTTCATCACCATCACCATCGCCATCGTCGTCGTCATCGTACCGCTACCATCTCAACTGTCATCACCATGGGCATCAGCGTCACGACCACTGTCATCGCCATCGTCGTTGGCATCGCGAACGCTACCATCGCCAACATCATATCTTGATCTGGAGCCATCACTTTTCTGCGCGGTTGAGTTCCGCTCGCCGGTGCGCTCGATGAGATGGCCATATGAGCTTTGCTGACAAGTTGCGGGTGAGAGGGTGGGGTGTTAGCACGAGCAGGTGGAGTTGACGACTTCAAGTCGGAGAAACATGAATTGCACCCCATCGACAGCACCCAATTGCATGCGCCCCGTAAATTCTCCTTACCAAAAAAAATAGGTTCTACCACCCTCGCCCCCCCGGACTTAAAGACACCCCGGGAACCAATGTAAAACACATAAGATTCTGACCCAATGTCCATCCTACCTGTGAATTCATACTATCCCAACCAAACCGATATCGATTCCCCCCACCATCCTCTGCAAAAAATATATGCGCACGCACTCGTTGATCACAAATCATGAGCTTTGAAGAATCCCTTGCAAAAAAACGGAACGAAGTACACACGCGCGCGTCGTCCCGCGCGCATGCCGGAATCCTTTAAAAACCTTCGGTTTTGGAAGGGTTTCAAAATCGAGTTTCCAAAAAACATACAAAACCACAGGAATTCGCAACATTTATTTTCTAAAAAAGCTTACGCGCGCGCTCTTGCAAAATCTGAAGAAAAACATTGATGTTTCAAGATTTCCGAAAACTATTACCAAACGGGCCGCGCGCGCGCATGTCGAAATCTTTCGAACGCCCTTGCGCGCGTGCCGTCGCGAGAATCCTCTGCGAAAAATTAAACGAAGTGCACACGCGCGCGTCGTCCCGCGCGCATGCCGAAATCCTTCAAAAACCCTTGGTTTCGGAAGAATGTCAAAATCGAGTGTCCAACAAATATATACATATATATATATAAAACATAAGGTTTCGCAACACGGACCTTTAACAAAAGCGTGCGCGCGCGCTCTTGCGTCGTCGTCGTCGTCGTCGTCGCCGTCCTCCATCCTCCCTCGTCGCCGTCGTCGTCGCCGTCGTCGTCCTCTGTCTTTCCTCGTCGTCGTCGTCTTGGCGTCGTCGTTTCCGTCGTCGTTGTCGCCGTGGTCGTCCAGTGTCCCCAGGCTCCTCTCTGGGAGCATGAGGACAAGCCCGAGAACACGTGTCCTCACACGCATATCTCAGAACAGCAAAAGCAACCTGGAAACGAAGCCAATGTTGCCAGAGTCCTCTCAGGGAACGCTGTGAGGACCATGGAAACTCATGCAGTCCAATGCTCCCAGTGGCTCTGAGAAAGGAAAGCGTCAACCGACATCAAATCCTGGGCCTAGGCCACATGAACGTATCTTCGCGCGTGTGTACGAGTGTGCGCGCGGACGTGTCTACATGTCTGCCGGTGCCACGTGTGCAAATGTGCATATGTGTACGCGTGACGAATGCATACGTATTATACGTCTGCATTCATATACGTACATACGCGCGCCTTCCGTCTGCTCATACTCCTGGTCACGATCCCACGTTCGTTCTCCTCCTCCTCCTCCTCCCCCCGCTCCTGGTCCTCCTCCTCCTCCTCCTCCTCAACCCGGGGTCGGAGGATCACGCCGCATCGCCGATACATCGGCGATGCATCGCCGATGCATCGGCAATGCTTCGGCGACATCGGCGATGCATCGGCGACGCCAGCGCGGGGAAAATTGGGCTCCGCACCAAGGCGCATCGCCGATGCATCGACAAAGCGGCGCGATCCTCCGACCCCATCCACTCGGACCCCATCTGGGAGGCCTAGAAAGGGCGCGGGCCTTTGCAGAGGTCCTTCTGAGCATACCCAGCGCCTGGACGGAAAACCCTTACAATTGGGTAGGGCATGTCCTCCCGCAGGCGGACTTTGGAAGAATATAGACAAGGATCCAACAAATCAAATATATTCAAACATAGTTACAACAAAAATAGTCGACAGATCGTCTTCATACTACTACCCTCGTCAAAATTAACCTCAAAAATTGCTGACACGTCATTTCGATTTCGGCGCACCCCTCAATGTCGACACGCCGCCCCTTCAATGTCGGGGCGAGGACAAAGATAGTCTGACCGAAGTTGACTCGAAAGTTTGACGTCGACCGACATTGGAGGGGCGGCGCATGCAAGTACCCCGCACTCATCGGTACTCGGCCCCAGATCTTCCGACAAGCAGTTCAACCACGTCAGACATTTTTGAGGTTAATTTTGACGAGGGTTGTATGTTTTACTATGTTTGGATATTCCTCCTGCAGGGGGGCACGCCCGACTGAACCTGACAACCCTTCCCGAGACTGTCGATCCTGGCCCCCCCGGTGCTGCGAGAGCGGCACACGGCCGAGGGAGGGCGGGCCAGGGAGGCGGGAGAAAGGAGAGGGGAGGGGGAGGAGGGGGAGGAGGAGGAGGAGGAGGAGGAGGAGGAGGAGGAGGAGGAGGAGGAGGAGGAGAGGAGGAGGAGGCGGAGGAGGAGGAGGAGGAGGATGGGAGGGGAGAGGGAGGAGGAGGAGGAGGAGGAGGAGGGGAGGAGGAGGAGGAGGAGGAGGAGAGGAGGAGGAGCAGGAGGAGGAGAAGGACGGGGATAGGAGGAGGAGGAGGGGGACGAGGGAAGGGGAGGGGAAGGAAGGGGAAGGGAGATAAGGAGATAGGGGAAGGGCGGAAGGAAGATAGGGGAGGGGAGGAGGGGGAGGAAGATAGGAGGGGATGGGGGAGAGGAAGACAGGGGAAGAGAGGGAAGGGAAGGAAGGAATGGGAGAGGAGAACGCAGGAGGAAGGGGGAGAAGGGAGGGAGAGGAGTGAGATGTTCAAAACGAACAAACAAAAAAGATATCACAAAAAAGAGGCGAGGGGAAGGAGGGCAGGCATCCTCCTCCTTTCGCCGGCTTCTTTCGATGCCGCCTACCTCCTCGTATCTCCTCGGCGCCCAAAGTGTGGAAGACGACCTCTCTTCTTGTCGAGCACGGAGGTGCAGAAGGTGATATGAAGGGGGTCGGAGCGGAGGGAGAAAGAGGAGGAGGAGGAGCAGCAGCAGCAGCAGAAGGAGCAGGAAAGGGAAGGGAACATGAGGACTGAGGAGCAGCAGCAGCGTGCAGGGGGGAGAGGAGGAGCAGCAGCATGGGAAAGGGGAAGGGAGAGGAGGCAGGAGCAGGAAGAGGGCGGAGGAGAGGGAGGGCGCAGGAGGGCGGAGGATGACATTGGGCGAAGGCGAAGGAGCGGAGGGGCCCCCGCGGCAGCAGACGACCCCTCCTCGTCGAGCACGAAGGTGATGAGGTCGTCCACCTCGAAGAAGGAAAAGCGCCATGAACATAAACTTTGGGCGCTCCGCGCGGATTTCTTGGATCTGTGCTGGCACCAGGGGCGGCGCCGGAGGCGCCGCCCGCTGGGGGGGGGGCCCAGCGCAGATCGAAGAAATCCGCGCGGAGCGCCCAAAGTTTATGCTTGTGGCGTTTTCCCTTCTCTAGAGGGCAGAAGATCCACCCCGATAAGAACCACTGCGACACGCGAAGCCGCTTAGCAAACGCACCCAAAGAAGGAATGAGACAGGGCAGGGCTGTCCAATAGACGCCGAGGGCCGTTCAATAAACGCCCAATTGTCCCGTCCGGGTGGTTCTTCCTCCCTTGATTCGTCGTCCACCCGCAGGTGGCGCTTGCCGATCATGTCGAACACGCGCCCGGGCGTGCCCACCTCCGCTGCGAGAGTTAGGTCGGGCAGGTCCCCCTACGGGCGGATTTCGGACGACAATTAAAAAAAAAAAAACGTAAACAAATGCTCGAGAAGAGTCAAACCTCCTAACAAAAAATCGTCCCCCGACTCGTTTTGGACTATTTTTGGATATGCCTCCTGTGGAATAAAAAATACGCAAACAAATAATCGAGAAGAGTCAAGCCTCCTAACTAAACAAATCGTCCCCCGACTCGTTTTGGACTGTTTTTGGATATGCGTCCTGTGGCATTAAAAAATATTCAAGCAAATACTCGAGAAGAGTCAAACCTCCTAACTAAACAAATCGTCCCCCGACTCGTTTTGGACTGTTTTTGGATATGCCTCCTGTGGAATAAAAAAAAAAATACGCAAACACATGCTCGAGAAGAGTCAAACCTCCCGACCAAAAGAAATCGTCCCCCGACTCGTTTTGGACTGTTTTTGGATATGCCTCCTGTGGAATAAAAAGAAATACGCAAACACATGCTCGAGAAGAGTCAAACCTCCCGACTCAAAGAAATCGTCCCCCGACTCGTTTTGGACTGTTTTTGGATATGCCTCCTGTGGAGGGTCCCGCCCGACTTCACGCGAGAGGGGGG